AATAGTAATTATAATATATATACTTTCTTATAATAATAAGTTTAATAAAAAATAATAAACCTCCTAGCTTAATTAATCTCTTTTAGCTATTAACTTATTTATAAACTTTATTATAAAGCTAATTAAAGGCTAGTTACTGCTAATTATAAAAAGGATAGCCTTAGTAATATCTTTATATAATATATTATAAACCTTAGCCTTATTAATATACTTTATAATATAGGAGAGGATAGTATAAAAACTTATAATAAGAGAGATATTATAGTTAGTAAGCTATATAATAGTAAAAAGGTAATTATAATTATTTAACCTTATATTATTATATATATTATTAAATATAAAGTAAATAAGATTAAAATTATATATTAAAATAAGGCCTTTATAAAAAGTATAAAAGAAATAAAACTAATAGACTTTACTATTTATAAGCCTGCTATTAAAAAGCTAGTAGTAATAAAGGTAATATGCCTTAAAGCACTTATAGACTTATATAATATTAATAATATTTAAAAAGAGCTAGAATATTAGCTTTTATTACTTATAAGCTAGAGGGTTGCCCTTTTTATATAAATTAGCATACTTAGGTTAAGGATTAAAAGCATTTATAAATAGCCTTTAATAATTAGTAAATGCTTAATAATTAGCTATATTAAAGAGATTAACCTTTAGGCTATCTTTAGTTTAGTATAGCTTATAAATATAAATGCTACTATAAGCCTACTACTTATAATAATACTAATATTTTAATATTTATAGCTTAAGGAGAATAACAGTTTATAAAAAAGTTTTAAACTAGAAGTTAAAATAATAAGCTATAATATAAAGGTTATTTTTAAGGTTTTATATTAAAATCTTAATCTTATTTTAATTAAAGGCTATTTACTATACTTAGTAGTAAGGTATATAGTATTAAAGACTCTCTTAGTAATTATTTACTATAAAAAATATTAAAAAGGTATTAAGATAGCTTAAAGTATATACTATTACTTTTAAGGCCTACCTCTTACTGCTTTAGTAAAGGCAGGTGCTTTAAAAGCTGCCTAAGTAGTAAATAATAAAGTTTAGCAGGGCCTAAGTATTAAAAGTATTATTATTAAATACTGCTTAAATATTATTTACTATAAGTATATATTAAGCTGCTTAGCCAGGCCTTTTAATAAAAAAAGAGCTATAAGTGTTTATAAAGGAATATATATATATATTAAACTTAATATAATAGAACTGCAGATACTAAGTAAAATAGCTATTATACTATCTTATAGTAAAAGCAAGGTACTATTAGTAAGTAATAAGGCATATATAAAGCTAGATAAAGTTAGCTTAACCTTTTAGAAAAAGAGTTAGAAATATAAAGGATAATAAAGGCTATAATTTATTAAACTTACTTAAAAAGGTTAACTAAATATTAAGCATTTATAAATAAGGCTGCTGCTGCTATAATAACTATAAAGGTATATACTAGGATAGTTAAAAAGAGATTTACTTAAAAGGTGCTTAGGCTTAACCCTTTAGCTTTATATAAAGCTAATTAAGGTTAGCCTAGGCTATAATAAGGTTAGGTATAGTAGTAGTGTTAAAATTATTATTATTAGGCAGATTCTTATTAGCTATTACTTTTTTAATATTAACTTTAGCTTAGTAATAGTTTAAGATATTTTAAGAAATATCCTTATTTACTAAAAGCTAGCTAAGCTACTCTTTATTAATTAAAATATCTTTATAGCTAGGATAGTGCTTTTTTAAGAATATTAGCTATTATTAAATATAATACTAGTGTATATAGAACTGCTTTTTAAATTACTATACTATATATACTTAGTCTATTTTATTAATAGGCTATAAGATAATTATATTAAAGTCTAAAGAAAGTAATAGCAGTTATATATATATACTTTTAGTATTATATAAAAAACTAATTATATGCCTTTAATACTTATACTATTACTTATAATACTAGAATATCTATATATAAATATAAATATATATAATAAGTATCTCCTTAACTTAAAATAGCTTTAAGAGATAGGTTAGTATATTTTTAAAATTAAGGTTATTCTTAGTAAAATAAAAGTATAGTTTATTAAGGCAGTAAGTTATATTCTTTTTTTAATAGTAATAGTAAATACTGCTTATAAGGCATTAGCTAAACCACTTAGTTTAATATTAAGAGTAAAGCTTTATTTAGTGCTTATTTAATTATGCCTGCTAGATATTAATAAAATACTAGTTAAATAGTATTAAGGTAATAGCACTAAGGTTGCTTTTAAAAGAAATATCTAGCTTAACTAGCTCTTAAATAGTAGCTATAGGCATTATCTTATAGCCCTAAGAGTGTTAAGAAAAAAGTATTTATTATAAAAAAGATATATTTAAATTATACCTGCTTTTAAAAGGAGATAGTTTTAAATAATAGCTATATTAGCTAGGTTAACTAGGTTAATTAAGTTAGCTTACCTTATTATATACTTAGTAAAAAAACTATTTATTACTTAGTATTATAAGAAAGTAGAATTATAAATATATTTAACTATAATAAAGATATATTTAATGCCTAGTATTTATATTTTTAAAAGCGTTAATATAATAAATATAAGTATTATAAGTAAGATTATAAGCAGATAAGGGCTTAAAAAGCTAGTATAAATAGTAAAAGAAAAAGTTATAATACTTATTATTTTAAGTATTAAACTAAAAAGGTTAGGATATAGCTATTAATTAAAAGGTTATTAAGGTTAAAGAGGGAATCTCCTTAGCATGCTAAGCTATATAATACTTATATTAAATTAACGCCTGCTCTTAATATATATCTTATTTTTAAAAAGTATTATTAAGGTTTATGCCTTAATAAAAGAACTATACTAAGCTATTAATATAAAAAAGTAACCTAAGTATATAAAAAAGTAAAAGATTAATAAGACTAGTAATATAAAGGGTAATAAGCTATAGCTATTAAAGGGGGAGAACTTTATACTACTAAGCCTGCTTAAGTAACTAGATATTAGAAATAACTTATTTACTTAAGCTAGAGAATAACCTTATAGCTTAAGAGATTTATAGTAAGGTTAGTAATAGCTATAAAAAAGAGGAGTAAAGAATAAATATATTATTTAATAAATAGCCCTTTATTAGCTTTTTACTACTAGCAGCAGTTTAGGCATTTACTTATAAAAAGGCCTTTAAGCTTTCTTAAATTAATAAATTTATTATTATACTTAAACTATAAATAGTAAGTGTATTTATATATAAGAATATTAAGAGTATTTTTAAAGAGTATAAGACTAGGATCTTTAGGTAGTAGTAGTAAAGGAGGTGCTATAATAGTAAAAGCTATAGTAGCAGTAAGAGCTATTAATAATACTATTAATAATACTATTAATAATACTATTAATAATACTATAATAAATACTTAAAAAGGCTAAAGGTTAAAAGTCTTAATTAAGGTAAGATTTAAAAGAAAAATATATTTATAAATATAGTATATATAGATTACTACTTAAGCATTATAAATATATAATATAGGTTATATATATTACTAGGCTTATGCAGTTATATAACTAAAATTAATAATACTTATTAGTTAACTTTTAGAGATATTATTTAGGATATTTACTTAAGGCATCTTCCCTTCTATTCTAAGCATTTATAAAAAATAAAATTAGTATTATTTAAATGCTTAAATAATACTAATTTATTTAGTATTAATATTATTATAATACTTTAGACTATATATATATAATTTAATAATTTATAATATTAATAAAGTATATAAATATTAAAGGATTTTAAGACTTTATAATTATAATATTATAATACTAACTTTAACCTTATAAAAACACTATAACTAGGAGTCTTAAATACCTTTAAAAGCGGTTAATAAGGTAAAAATAACTAATTGCTATATAACTTTTTTATTAACTTCCCTAGCGCTTAGGAAATTATTAATTAAATAACTAAGTAAAGCTAAGAAGCAGCAACTCTCTAGTAATCCCTGCGCTTAGCTGCTTTACAGCTTCGCTTAGGATTATCGCAGGTTTATCTAAAATACCTATAATAAACTGCGGTGAGACTTAACATGTATTCTAGCCGGACTGTTACCACAGACGACTGATGGCCCTCCGACACACAAGCTGCATGTTTTGTAGCATAAAGTGACCCTCTAGTGGCTGAGACTTTTCTTTCGTTCTCAATGTCGAATAAGATACACGTGCGTGCAAGCTCTCCAGAAAGATCTTGCAGATACAACTCGTTGGAGTTGCACTTCGAAGAACCCATCAATGGGTGTTCTCAACCACTCTCCCATTGATACCTATGAGTGTACCCGCTTCATCTCGTCCCGTATATCTACTAGCAAGAAGTCTCATAGCCTCACGCTGTACTACGAACCTCAATTTGTGAGTTCCATGTCTCAAACGCCAGCCGCTCGTTTCAGGAGCCGCCAGCGCCAAACGTCGGTCTCAGCGGCTCATCGACTGGCTGTCAGCGCCCCGGATTGCCGTTTCCAGCCTTCAAAACCCCCTGTAAGGCCGCCGCTGTATGGGAGCGCGGCTGTCGTTTGCGAGACCCACAGCGGCAATCGGCTTCAATGTTTGAGAGTCTGTCGATTCACGATCTGATTAATGAGTGAATGATGCATCAATAGCCCAATCCTGAGTCTCAATGATGAACAAAATGGCACAGAAGGACATTCAAACAGCTTACATAACCATATAGGCCATTGTTCACATCTTTGTCCATCTCTGCGACAAATCAACGCTATTTGGCTACACAAATCACAGTCAGTTAGACATCCAAGACATCCAATCGACACCCTTGTCCGTGGCTCACGACAATCGCCAACTTTTGACCACCTCCCAGCCAATTGATCACGAGCCGCGCCACCCTCGTGATGCAAAGCGCCCATCCCACCAGCCCAAGAGGCGAAAAAAGCATTCATGCTCGTCTTGCCGTCAAATTGTTTCAGACTGATTTGCGCTCTTCTGGCCTTGTTCTGAACAGCCTTTTCGCTTGATTGTCGCGCGGCTAGCCAATCCAAGCCACCGGCCTGTGGCAATCTGCAGCAGCACAACAATGCATGAATCGGACTTGTCCAGTTCCCCTTTGGCTGCCTCTTTGACCCCCAACATGAACGTTTGATACGCGTACCTTGTTTCCTGGTCCAATCCCTTTGACGGGGATCAAGTAAAACAAGTTGAGCCAGATGTGAGCAGCCGTGGGTGTGTGCGCGCGCTTGATCAATAGCAGCCGAAGCCTCAATTCACACAATCATGGCTGCTACCTTAGTAGCTCAGCCCACGGGTCAAGAGTAGGTATATAGAGGCGTGGTGGTTCTGTCTGCCAGCCACATGCGCCCAAACTCTTCTCCTCTTCTACGACCTACTAATCTCTCGTTTGCCGTATTAGAAGTGCATCCTGGCGATACCTTCTTTCATACCTCTCTTTCTTCTATATACACACCAGTCACCATGGCTAATCTGTTAAGATTCGCCGTCCTTATACCCCTGATATTCTCCCTTGTCGCCTTTGTCTTGACAAACCTTGCGTTATTCGCCGGTCATCAGAAGGGCTTCATGGAGGAATATGCCGTCATCAGGGTATGTCAAGCTCAACCCCCCCCCCACTCAAAGCTCTTCACTCAACAAGTTGTGCTAACCCTCGACCGTAGCTAAACGCATCCAGGCTGGGCCAAGACATGTTCCAAAGTGACGACAGCTCAGACAGCAGCAGCAACGACGATGACGACTCGGAGAGCATCTGGGACAAGATCACAGACAAGGTCGACGATCTCAAGGACGACGTCAAGGGCAAGATCAACGACATCGCGGGCGACCTGGCGGAGGACCTCGCCGACGAGCTGGGCATCGACGACTGGTACTCGCTCCACATCATGAACGCCTGCATGGGCAGCTTCGGGCCCAACGCGACGACGTCGCATTTCAAGCTCAACACCACCAACTGCACGTCGTCGTCTCCAGCCAGTGAGTTCCCAACATTTGCCATCGTAACCCGACAATGAACGAATCCCATGCTAACAAGCCATAGACCGCTTCAACCTGACCGCCATCCTGGACCAGCAGCTCTCCATCGGCCCGCTCGACATCAACCTCGCCGACATCCACTGGCCCGGCTCGATCCAGAGCAGCATCGACACGCTCAACGGCGCCCTGCTGGCCCTCTTCGTCTTCTACGTCCTCGGCGTCGGCTTCAGCGGCCTCGCCATGCTGGCGTGCATCCCCGCATTCCTGCTGCAGGACAAGAGGCTCGTCCTCATGGTCAACGGCGCCCTGGCGCTGCTGGCCGCCGCCACAATTACCCTCGGCAGCATCATCGCCACGGCCGCGTCCGCCGTCGCCGTGAGCGCCATCAACGACAAGGGCGAGCCCGTCACCCTCGTGGCCACCCAGGGGACCAAGTTCTACGGCTTGACCTGGGCCGCCGCGGCGCTCATGATCGTGTCGGCGCTCTTCTGGGTGGGCAAGTTTGCCTTCCTGTGGAAGAGGGAGAAGAGGGAGCGGGAGAGGTACTCCAAGGAGAGGTTCTAAAGAAGTGAAAGCTCAATCTTTTGTTGTTGGCCTTTTTTTTAAACCTGGTGCTGGCGCTGGGGGGACGAGTATTTCGGCCATATAATATTTGCAATTTTTTCCCTTTGTTTGCTCAGTTATTGTGAGCATGGCTGGGGTCTAGACGGATCAATGGATCACCGGGGGCTGGTATGCAACTCTACAGGCGGCTGAAGAAAAGGCTCAAGGCAAGACGCCACGAGGGCAAACCTCGCTAATCCGCTCGCAGAAGCGATGAACATCTCTGAAACATAATGAGCATAACGCATTTGAATCATGCCGCGTAAATAATGAAGACATCGTCAACGCAATTACCTACTGAAACATATCTGTTCACTGGCCCTGTTGCTTCTCCTCGCTTATCCCCACGCAAAACTGCCCTGGAGCGCATTTACCGCCAGCGCCATCTGCGCCATGGATTGCCTAAACAGGAAATGAGCGAGAAGCTCGTGGACAGCTGTCGATCTTTGGGCACGAATCCCGCATAGTATTGAAGTCCAATGCCCTGTATCTTTTACCCACTCTCGTTAGATAGATAAGGCTCAGCTACAATGCATCGACGAGTCATCACTTCATGTTCCAACGTTCTCCTTCAGAAAAGAGACAAAGGCGAACACAATGAGCTCCTCCTCCAACAAACGCCCAGCGATGCCCTCCCGCGACGTCGAGTTCGGGGGCCCCAGCGAGACGCATTCGCTGCTGGACAAGGGCCGGACAAAGGTGACGCGCTTCTTCAACGGGTTCGTGGATTTTGCGTTTCAGGGCAACATCCTGCAGATTGCATTTGGTTTGATGTGAGTTGTCTTTCTTGTCCTCCTCCTGTTTCCCCAAACACAGCCAAAAAGCAGCAAACTACACGTTGTATCAAGAAGGCATACATACAAGCCATACACACACACACATCTCACAAAACACACACCACCACCAATATATCAAACATCAACGACGCAAAGAAACCTCGTTAAGTTAACCAAACCCGGCCCCAGCCTCGCCGCCGCCTTCACCGACCTCGTCAAGTCCTTCGTCAGCGCCATCCTCATGCCCCCCATCTCCGTCATCCTCCCCATCAACAAGAACATTGAGGAAAAGTTCGCCGTCCTGCGCCCCGGCCCGCACTACAACGCCTCCGCGCCCAACGGCGGCTACAACACGCTGCACCAGGCGCAGTCCGACGGCGCCGTCGTCATGGCCTACGGCACCTTCATCTATCAGATGGTGTCGTTTGTCATGGTCGGCTTTTCGCTGTACGGGCTGGCGCACGTGTATGAGCTCGTGGGGACGGATCCCATCATCAAGTATTCCAAGAAGTGCCCGTATTGCCTGAAGCGGATCAATGAGAAGGTGATAATTTTGCGATTTTCTTATTCATTGTATTGCGTTCCTAATGAGGTTGGGATCTGAAAGAAATGAAAAAGCTGACCAAGGGAATATGGAATATGCAGTCTCGTCGGTGTGTCAACTGCAGCAGCTGGCTCGACGGCAGAGAAGACGTCGACGCCGTAAACCCAACCTCTACATCCTTTTCCAGCCAACGCTCATACTCGTAACACAATCAACGCCGAAACTCATCATGACGAACCAAACCAAACCGAGCCAAGCCAAGCCCAACATAAACCGATCCAAGCAAGAAAAGCGAGCATCAGAATCAGACATGATCCGAATACACCCCAAAACCAACCCCCGACGAATATCCCATACTGCCAATCCTCCTCTCATCGGGACAATACGTCTCCCTCAAGCACGCATCGCCAACGTCCCCCCACCGGACCGCTCTCTTGTTTCTGCCGTTCCGGTTGGTGGCGGCCGCTCTGCCGCCGCGCGCGGAAGCCACCAGCCATGCGGTCGCGCAGATGAGCAGCGCCATGCACACGACGAGGAGCAAGGCCATGACCGTGGAGGCGGCGATGACGGCGTCCAGGGGCGAGGTGCGGGAGAAGCTGTGGTAGCGGCTGTGCGAGGGGAAGTTCATGTTGGGTGTTTGTGAAGGTTGGTGAATAAGGTAGGTTGGGAGTTTCGTACAGAGTACCAACAGTGAGATTGCCGTAGGATTTCTGAAGAGTGGCGTAGTGTGTGTTTTGTGTAGAGAATGTGTGATGGTTGTGATGGACGGACGGGTCCGTCCGCGAGACATATAAATGCGCGAAGTGTATCTAGAACAACGGTAGAATGTAGACTGCGGACGCGAATTGACTGCAGAACGGTCCAAGATTCAATGCTGTGTTTCAAGCTGTTCATTGATAAAAGGCCGCAAGGCATACCATACGATGCGTCCGTTCAGCCGGCGTACAAACAAGGCAAAAGTGACCAGAAACGCCGTTCATCATTGTGCTACATCGTGTCTAGGGGTATACATACGTTGCAGCGATTCATGTACAGCAGATGGCTTTGTTCAAAGCTCATTCAAAATTATCCACAGCGCGGATGTTCAAAGATCTTCAACGCAATTCCTACCTATGTATCAATACATGTCTTGGCCCGTTCCATTACAGCATCATAGCGCTACCGATGATGGCAGCAACACCGGCCAACAGACCGTTGCGAGCGTTCAGAATACCGGCAGCGTTGGTGGTCGTGGGCCCAGCAGTCGATGAGACGGTTTGAGTGCCGGTCTGAGTGCCGGTGGTGGTCGTCTGCCTGGCCAGGGTCGTAGACGCAGCTCCGGAAGAAGCAGACGTCTGAGAAGCCGCGGATGAGCCGGTGCCGGTGGGAGCGGAAGCATCGGTGGGCGTGGCCTTGGGAGCGGCTTGGAGCTTGTCGAGACCGGCGGTGACGGTAACGGGGTACTGCAGGTCCAAAAAGGTGACGGTGCCGACGCTGGCAGTGGCCATGGTGTTACCGTTGCCGTCGTCTTGGGTGACGGAGGCGCTGCAGGAGGCGACGTCGACCGCGCTGGAGAGCTTGCACTGGGCAGCCTCGGTGCTGTTGGAAGCGTAAGCTTGCATTCATACATCGGACGGTCTTGGGTACGGTATGAATGGTTGTGGAAGCAATATAAAGTCATTTCTGGGCATCACCAGGTCTGAATAGCATCTCACTTACTAAAAGCCGTCATCTCCAGAGTAGGACATGGTGAAGCCATAAGTGGTCGGGCCCTGAGTGACGGTCTGGCTCTCTGCAAAGCCGCAGTCCTCAGTATCGGTTCCTGGCGGGCATCCTACGGCATAGGTCGTGGCCGTGCTGTCGGCGGCGATGACGGAGGCGACGAGAGGCTGGGGATCGGCAAAGGGCAGCAGGAGCTTGACGGTGGTGGATTGAGCAGCCAGGACGGCGCTGGAAAAGGCGAGAAGAGCGAGTGCGCGAGCCATGGTTGAGTCGAGAAGCGAACGAAGGTCGGTTGTCGAGGCAGTTGTATAACTGTGTGTATGTAGTTGGACTTGTATACTCGGACTTGAGAACGAGTGAACGAGAGACTGTGCTTGGCTGATCGTCGACAGAACGAGTGGATTCGCGATGGCCAGAAGAAAAGAAGCGCGACTCGAGTCACAGCCTGGAGACGGCAGCTTTAAACGTCTTTTCCATCCCGTCAACCGGCGGAACTATTGGTCTCAACTCCTTTCCCCTTCAAGGTAGCGCTGTGCGTATGCTAGTCTCGGCGATTGACTTTATGAGTTAGATCGTGAACTGGAAACGGCCTTAGTCAGAGAGTTGCCCGATGGAAATCTCACGATCTTTAGCCGAGGAGGCGACGGTTCGTATAAGGAGGCATGCCGGCATTCGAGGACTTGTCACTGCCAAAGACGTCAAGAAGCGAGGGAGAAATAGAATAATGAGCCACTGTTTCTGTCTGAATCATCGCGGTCGTTCACTTTGAACCCGCTGAGCTGCGATGATCAGCATCGCGTTGCTTCTGCTGCCGATCGATCTCTCAGTGATAAGGTTCGTTCGAAGCATGATACCGAAATTAGCAAGCTTTTGCATGGATGGCCAATTTTGCCCCTGGCTAACGCTTGGGTCTGACGGGAGGCGGCATTAGCATGAGAGTGGTCCAGTTTTCCACGTTTCATTCGTAGATTTTTTTCGTGCTTCTCGCAAGGACTGGGCGCAGTTTCGGAGGCAAACCCGTCAAATCCGTGTCGTTTGATTAGAAAGCGGATGCAACCTAGATTTGCAGCTCGTTTCTTACTTTGAAATTCTGCGTCTGGGAGGTTCGTTGGTTCGATACTGTTTCCATCGACTGAATACCTTGGGCATATGTACAATCGCTCAAGCAAATCCGGCATATGTTTGCTGCCTCCGCAAATCGCTGCGGCTGGGGCTCAAAAGAGCGATCTGTGTTCCTTGGGCTTGCCGCCACAATAGCTTGCATAGCCGTTGTGTATCACGGTGCTTCGCTATTGGACCGGGAACAAGATGGTCATCTGTAATCGTGTTTGAATTGAGGTCGGTGAGTTGGCGATACAGTATGCTGATTGACCTTGATGGTTCTCTCGGCTGAGTCTCTCATGAAGTTGCCAACAGCTCACCAGGGTGGATTCGTGAGATGTCGTTGAATGAGATAAGGTAAGGTATCCTGTGATTACCTTGTTGATACCTTACCGTACCCAACAGAGAGAGCCCCATGGATCAACTGTCAGTTGCCTGCTTACAGACATTCAACGAGCTGCCCGTTCCGCACTTCCGCTCACTTGCCGAGGATGCTCTGCAGTCCCCGCCGAGATAACGGCAGATACTATGCGGTAAGCGGAAATGCCCGCTGCACAATATGCACCTATCCGGCATCCCTGGCCTGTTCTTGGCAGCCACGAGCCGGCATCCAACCTTCTCAGACCTTGTCTTGGCACGGCCTTGGCAGTCCGGTCGTTTGACTCGCAAATGCGCGCAAGGGCAGCACCGACCAGAAGAACGAGGGAAAGAAACGGATAAAAAACCGAAGACAAATTAAACGCGTTGCAGCTAATTTTTTCTTTTCTTTCCTCTGGGGCAAGAAGAGTGCCAAGACGGCCGTGACTTCCCTTCCCTTGTCTGTTGAGGTGTTGCTGCCCTGCGCCTGCCTGTTGGATTTGCGGTCTGGGTCTGCCGTACGGGGGCGAAGTTGCTGTATTCGTACTTGCCTAGAGTTCTTGGTACGGTTGGGAAGTTGCTGCTGAATGCTGCTTCGAGAGGCAAGAGCGTTTTAGAGGATCCTGACTGATTGCTTCTTCACCGTAGTGTAGAAATCATAGACAGTAGGTACTGTCACGTTCTAGAATAGATTATGGAACTCTTTCATCTCATCTTCTTCATCTCGTATTGAGTCATCGCCTTTTGACAGATTACGATTATTATTCATCTAATCCGCTCCAGGAAAGAGCAAAGAGCAGAAAAAGGAGCCCACCACATGCCAAGACATGACGGAGAAAACCCCCTTCATAGCGGCACTCGCCCTAAACCCAATTGGCCGCCAGGAGAGCAGAGGTCCAACTCTTGGCATCGTGGAACCAAAATCGCTAGTATTTCACCCTTGATGCTTCCCATGCCATGGACGTGTCGACCCTCTTCTCTGCTGGTCTCCGGCTGAAACTCTGCCGTTTCGTCTTTTTCACATCGCAGCGTCTTCCGTCTTCCATGCATCCACGAGTCCGTCTTGCTCGCCCAGGCATGTGGTGACGGCGACGACTCGAGCCTTGTCTGTGTCCGTCTCCCTTATCGCTGCTGAGTGCCGGGGCTCTGCGTCGTGAGCCAACCGAATCGCGTGGGTGCGCACATTTGAGACTCGACGCTCGACAGAACCGTCGCTCGATACCTAATCGACGCTCGAAAATCCGAATCGCCCAGGCCGCAGTAACTTGGTTTCGCAACAATCTCGTCTGCCGGAGTCATTGCGCTACGAAGCCGCAAAACTGTCCGTGAAGCGACATCTCACCATGCACGGGTTTGCTCTCAAAGCCTGGCCGGCAGCGCTGCAGGCTTTGCTCGCCGTGGTCGCTCTGTATCCTGCCAACGCGATGGCACACGACGACGCTCAGCGAACGACGACACCAACACCAACTGTGACCGAGGCCCCCATTTATCTGCCGTACTATGACGAGCGCTCGTGGTCGCTGGTTCGAGGGAGCATCATATCGACAGTATGCTCAGCCCATCCACTACATTGTTCTCTGTCGCAAACATTCAGTTGCCTGCGTCAAAGATGCGGGTTCTAGCAGGGTTAACGCAGGCTTTAGGATCCCTCCGCTAGCAGGACAACGTTCACCATTTTCTGCCCGACGCAAACGCCCCCAGCATGCGACCTATCCCTCGAATTCCCCTTTGTCATTGTGGAAGGGCCCGGCACGCTCGAGTTCCACGGAACGGTAACCTCGACGTAGTGAGTTGATCTGCGCTGGTGACCTGGTGAATCCGTATGGCGGTGGGAAGGCTTCGTGTGCTAACTTCCCGTCAAAGTATTGCTGACGTAGAGTGCGACTTGAATGGCACGACGGCCGCAACGTGCTCGGGTTACTCGAGCTACAAAGCCGGTTACACAAACGGGCGCCTCACTGGGCCTACGCAGCTTTCGTGGACGTCCACCTTTACTGGATCGGAGGTGCAGTGGGGAACCCTGACGATGGCCGAAGCCCCAGGGGCAACCGACGATGCCTTTGACCCCAACGGAACCATGACGGTGCCCACAGCCTCCGGGATGATGTACGAACCTTCGCCCACGTCGATGGGATCGAGCTTGCGCGTTTCCGGATTGCAGGCGCTCTATGGGATCATGGCGGGCATTGTTGCTGTGTGTCTGGCATCATGATGATCCATGCACTCGCCGTCGAATTATGGGGATGAATAGAGTGGAGGATGGTCATGGCTGGTTCGAGGGAGAGATCCGAGACTCGAACTTGTGCTGTTTCCGGATCTTTTCCTCGTCCGTCTGTTCACATGGTTTCTGGGAAGCGTTATGAGCGCGCTGTACCCTCTCTGCGACTTGTCTTTTCAGCAGCATATAAAGGCGTTTGTAATTGTGGTGAAAGCGCGGAGTTTGGGCTTTGGTCAACATGTCTTGTCATGTTCTTTTCTTCTCTGGCCATGGAGTATCTGGGCTAAAAAGTGGTAAAATCTTCAACGGATGCTGGGGTACTTATGCGTGGAGGGCCGTATGCCTCTTGGGTCGTTTCGTTGTGCATGGAATGCGATGTGGCTCAGTGATGGCCATGCCGGCCTGCTCAGATAAGTTTGGCAATGGCATGCATCACCTGAATATTCTACTTATCCCTCTACTTAACTTTGATACTGATTACCATATATCGGATGCCCATAGTATATGGTTCCCGCCACAGCTGAAGAACTGCGATAGCCAACAGATTCACCCCTGTCGACCAGGTGGATGTGTCAGTTTCAGGCCCCTGTCGCGCAATCGGCTTGAAGCGCTGTCATCCAATCCTGTGCTTCTGGAGAAGTCTGCGGTTGGCTGAGCACAGGCGTTTCTTCGCCGCAGCCAATCCCGCCGACTATTCTGCATCTTTTCCTTTGACTGGCGTCCTGTTCACTGAACCATTTGCTGTTTTGCCGCGCGGGCACTTAAAACGATGCCCCAAAGGCGCCGACTTTACGCTTATTCCCTGCTACACAAGGACACACAAGAGGACATACGAGGGTGCTCTCAGTCGCCACAGACCGTAAAAAGATCCGCCGAGGCCCCTCCCTTGCAGCTTCGCGCCTAAATGCAGATGCTACCACGTTTCGAGGCTACGGCACCCAGAGACATGGTTGAGCGTTTCGCCGTGGCCAAATCTGTCAAATCGATTCGGACCTATAAACTGGACCGTTAGGCTGGGATGGACCCCAGACAAGTCCGCGCCAGGCGCTTGAATCGACGGCTGAGTGACATCTCATTGGAGCGAGGGGCACGCTTTTGAGCCGAGAAAAGAAACGAGGCTCGGGCCCGAGATCTTGGCTTCCCTGTTTGGCCAAGAGGATGCATTGGGCGAAACAAGATGCACGGGGAAAGGGCTGAGCGCGACCTGTTGCGACGTGGGATTGCTCTTGACTACCTGTAACTTGTTCCAGGTTCATGCCGGGTGCTTGTTCAAAGCTGCCTCTTAATGTTCTGCGAGCTCCCGTCCGTTCTGTTACTGCTCTTCCTCTTGTCAAGCTTTGCTCGAAGCTCTCTCTTTTCTTTTTTCTTCTCTCTGCAGTTTTCCTTGTTTGCTTTGGGTTTCGCTTTTCAGGAACTTTCACCTGTGTCTCTCCACTCTTTTGATCGGCCTATTTCTTTGTTGGTCCTCGTCCCTGTTTTTCCGTTGCCTATTGTGAGGTGGCGACGGCTGTATATTGGATCGCCCTCCTATTGTTGAGTGCCTGACGCGCAACCTGCATTCATCCGACCCTCTTTCGACCCTATTGTTTGCCGCACGCTTTAGTCGTGATTCATTCTTCTTTTCCTTCTTCTCTTTCTTTCCTTTCGTCTGTTTGGAGTGTTTCGTTCAATCTTCCTGGCTGAAGATTGATTCTTTGTTTCTTTATCCTACTTGCATTGATACACTTGGGCCACCGAACGACTAGTGCTGGACACGACTTCGATCGAACTCAGCTACATTCTTTTGCTGTGCACAAGAGGGGCAGCATGAGATTCTTCAAGAGCGTCAGTGCCGCTGCGGCCGGGAGCTCCCTCATCACCGCTCCCACCTCCCTGGATGTCAAGAGTCTATGTAAGTATAGCTTCATTCCGTGTAAGACGACGGATTGACTAACACCAAGCTCACAACAGCGTCGGTCCGAAATGTCGCGGCTACTCTTGCATTCGACACCATGTCCTACTACAAGGGCAACCTCTCCTCGGTGAACTCGATAAACATGGGAGACCTCCAGGACCCGTACTACTGGTGGACGGCCGGCGCGCTCTGGGGCGCGATGCTGGACTACTATCACCTCACCGGGGATCCGTCGTACAACGACGTGGTGATTCAAGCTCTGCTGGCACCGACAAATCTGGGGACAGAGAACGCCTACATGCCGGTGGAGCACGAGTTCGAGGAGGGCAACGACGACCTCTTCTTCTGGGGCTCAGCCGCCATCGCCGCGGCCGAGCGCAACTTTCCGCAGCCGGACCAGTCGCTGCCGTCGTGGCTGGAACTGGGAGCTAACGTCTTCAACCAGCTCGCGGGCCGCTGGAACACGCAGGCCTGCGGCGGCGGTCTCCTGTGGCAGATTTACGCGTCTAACCCCAACGGCCTGACGTACAAGAACAGCGTTAGCAACGGTGGCTTCTTCCAGATCGCGGCGCGCATGGCGCGCGCCACGGGCAACGACACGTATCTCGAGTGGGCGGAGAAGATCTGGGACTGGTCCATGGACATTGGCTTCATCGACGCCGACTTGTACCACGTCTACGACGGCGCGGGCATCGACACCAACTGCACCAAGACGAACCCGGCTTCGTTTACATACACGAGCGGCATCTATCTGCACGGAGCGGCGGTCATGGCCAACTACACGGGGAAGCCCGAGTGGAAAGAGCGCGCCGAGAAGCTGCTGGACGGTGCCGTCTGGTTCTTTCAGCCGCCGAACGTGACCGCGAAGATTATGTACGAGGGGGCGTGCGAGACGGTGGAGAGGTGCAACGCGGACCAGACGACGTTCAAGGGCTATCTGGCACGCTTCATGTGGCAGTCGACGCAGATGGTGCCCTCGCTGCGCAGCAAAGTCGAGAGCTTGCTCGTGACCAGCGCCGAGGCCGCCGCGGGCACCTGCACGGGCGGCACGACCGGCCGCGCCTGTGGCCAGAAGTGGTACGTGGGCAAGTTTGACGGAATCCCTGGTTTCGGACAGCAGATGTGTGCGCTGGAGGCGATCCAGGGGCTCTTGATCAGCGAGGCGGCGCCCCCCCTTGAGGCCAAGGACATCAAGGTTGTGCGGGACACGGACTGGAGTGTTGTCGGCAGTGGCAAGGATATGCCGACTACGAGGGCGGTGCAGACGACGACGACGACGACGAAGAGGGGGAACGCGGATGAGGCGCAGCCGACGGAGAATGCGGCTGGAAGGACATTGAATGTCGGATTGGGGTCTTTGGCGGTTGTGGGATTGGGATTGGTGGTGGCTGTTTGAGTGTGATGGTGCCTTGGGCTGCGTCCTCGATATCACCTACAATGGTAGGATCCCCTGGCTGCCTTGGATTTTCCTTGGGCCTTGATTCCATTCTTTTCTTGTATAATGTGTAAGTTGTAATGAGCGGCCGGCGATGGATAGACATATTATGCTGCGGCTCTGGGATAAAATAGATGGAGGCTGCTTTTTGGGGTGATAGATATACACGCTTTCTATTCAAGTCTACTTTTTTCTATTTTCCAATACGTTGTCTAAACCAGCTTGTCAACCGTGGTATTCAGATAGACAGATCTCTCTGCAGAATTCCTCTCATCTCATCTCTCGATCCGCATCTCCATCCCATTCAAGCAGTCCCCCTTACTTCAGCCAGCGTCTTCTTCAACGCCTCCAAGAACCGGGTAACCTCCTCCTCCGTGCCGACCGTAATCCTCAGGCACCCCTCGCAGCCGTGCTCCTTACCCCTGAAGCGCACGACGACGCCCTTTGTCTCGGCAAGCCTCTCGTAGACGGCCAGCGCCACGCCGTTGTCCGGCTTGCCGTCCTTGTCCAGCATCTCGTACAGCAAGAAGTTGCTCTCGGTGCCGCCGCGCAGCCTGCCGACGCCGTCGACGGCGGGCAGCTCGCGGAGGAGGCGGTCGCGCTGGGCGAGCAGCTTGTCCCTGTTGGCGCGCATGACGGCGAGCCCCGCGGGGCCGAGGGCGGCGGAGGCGAGGGCGCTGGTCGGGCTGGAGATGTTGTAGGGGGCCTTGAGGCTGTTGAGCAGGGCGGCGATGGGGGCGGGGGCGAAGGCGGCGCCGAGGCGGATGCCGGCCATGCCGAAGGCCTTGGAGAGGGTCTGCATGACGACGAGGTTGGGGTATTCGGCGACGAGCTCGGCGAGGGAGGCGTCGTCGGGGGCGAAGTCGATGTAGGCCTCGTCGAGGACGACGACGCCGTTCCAGGACGGGTGGTTGAGGAGGGTGACGACGTCGGACTTGGCGAGCAGGGAGCCCGTGGGGTTGCCGGGGGAGCAGAGGTAGAGCAGCTTAATGGACGGGTCGGCATCAAGTGCGGCGGAGATGGCGGGCACGTCGAGGGCAAAGGTGGGCGCGGGGAGGAGCGGGACCCTGACGATGGAGACGTCGTTGACCTGGGCGGAGACGGCGTACATGCCGTAGGTCGGGGGGCAGGTCAGGATGCGGTCCTTGCCGGGGACGCAGAAGCAGCGCAGGAGGGCGTCGATGGCCTCGTCGCTGCCGACGCCGACGAAGAGGTTCGCCGGGGTGAGCGTCTTGGGGGTGTGGGCGTGGGTGTTGCGCAGGTTGCAGAGCAGCTGCTTGAGGTCGTGCTGGTGGGGGTCTGGGTATCTGTGCAGGCCGAGGGGGTCGATCTTGGGGGCATCTTTGCTGTTGTCGTCGTTGCTGGAGGAGGAGGAGGAGGGAGAGGAGGGGGAGAGGGAGGGGCCGTAGGCGTTTTCGTTTGCGTCGAGGAGGATGTTTGTGCCGTCGTCTTTGTAGTCGCTGTTTTGGAAGATTGTCAGTCATCTCGAGGAAGATTGGGGAGGGGGGAAGGGGTTTGGAGGAGACTGACTCTCGGGCGCAACGGTAGGGTTGCAGGGCGAGGATGTTGGGGCGAGCGCAGGTTTCGAGGTTGAAGGGAGACATTGTGAGCCTCTGGAGGGGGGATGCTCCCAAATGAAACGGTTCGCAGGGGTTGTGGTGTTGTGAGAAAGGAGGATGAGGAGAGAGGGAAGAGGAAGAAGAGAAGCCGGAGGGAGATGGGAAAAGGGAGGCAGAGGCGAGAGACTCGAGAAGGCGCCGGAGTTGGAAAAAAGAGTCAAAGGTATGAATCAATCCCGCAGCGATAACGACGATAAGCCCCGAGGCCGGAGGTTTAGCGGTGCTTTTTGGCGGCGGCGTTTTGTGGGGCGCTGGAAGGGGGAGCCGGATCGAGGGCCGGAGGAGCAGGAGGAGGAAATATATATATATATATAAATGGTGACGGTATTGAGTCATTTCTTGAACGCTTCTATTGTATGTGCTGACGGAGAAGAATGGGAAAAGATGAGTTGAAACAAAAGGATAAGTCCAGTTGGTATCGCCATCATAGATTATCCCATTCCGTCAAGAAAAGAGACATACATATCCCGTGTAAGTCGCCCATAGCCATATCCATGTGAAGAGAATGCGGTATAAGGCGCTCTCGAGTATAAAAAAACAAACCAACAAAAGACAATCCGTACAAGTCATAGAAACAAAAACAAGTCCTACAGATGATAACCAAACAAGAACCAGCACCTCGGCCTCATAAACAGCCGGTGAGTCACCACCCTCCACGCCGTCAGTCCACACGCCAGCCCTCCCGCAAGCAGCGGAATCAACTGCCCAACGGTCCCAATCTCGTCAATGCCCACATCCTGGATGTCGTTCACCGTAATAAGGTGCTCGACGAGGTAGATGGACATGCCTATCAGCGCCATCGACAGCACCAGCAGCGCCAGCTCAACCTGCGGCCGCGCCTTGTCCCTCCTCTTGAAGCCCTCGCGAATGCCCTTGTTGAACCTCGCCGTGGTCGCATACACGCTCCAGACGAGCGAAGCAACGCACAGCACCACCCCAACCACGGCCAAGACCTTGCCCAGCGTGCGAAACCAGCCGTATAGACTAACCCTCCCAAAGAAGGCAACGTGCTGAGGACACGCGGCGACGGACATGTCGTCGATGCCGCGGAACCAGAACCAGCACCCGTACGAGGAGACGGCGGTGTAGAAGACGACGCGGAAGATGCCGGAGAAGTGGCTCAAGTGGCTGATGCCGTCGCCGGTGAGGCTGGACAGCGAGCCGAAGAGCAGGTACTGCGTGACGACGGCGCCGATGAGGGAGTCGCCGGGGCGCGACTGGGTGCAGAGGCCGATGAAGATGGACGTCTGGATGATGAGGTTGGCGATGCGGTAGGTGCTTTCCGTGCGGGGCTCGAAGAGCGTCGCCAGCAGGGTCGCGGTCCATTGGGCGTAGAGGCCGACGCGGACGCCGACGCCGTAGAGGTCCGAGTTGCCGGGGGGACATTGCGATACGTCGATGGTTGAGCTCATGTTGATGGGATGAAGAGATGAGCTGAGCCGACTTGAGCGGAGGACGAAATGAAGAATCGGCAACTGATACAGGCTCTCTCGCAGTCTCTCTCTCACACGGAGACCAACTGACGAAAAATGAAATAGAAACAAGACGGATCAGTCTCCCCAAAACATCCTATGTATACTATCAATCACGCGTAGATGAAATCGGCCCCGATTAAGTTGCGGGCCCCCCCTACCGCTACATACAAGTAGTAGTATGTGAGCGATCCCACGACTCCAGCACAGCAGGCATCGGATATCGTCTCCTCGTTGCGCGTGGTGGCAGTGCTCATGCGAGACACGGCAAGCCTCGCCTTGGCAACCCAATTCCGCCTCACTAAGTATATACCACAACGACGACATGCAGCACTATATGCAGCACGTAGGTAGCCGTCGTTCAGGTGGTCACAAGGTGCGCGGATTCATGTTCCCATCTTCAGCCCCAGCAACTAACGATTAGCTATGTATGTATTCCACAGCCATCGTCTCATCATACGGAGTAGTATCTGTGAGACATCGGGCACAGACAGGACCAAGAAAAAGATGAGCCAACGCTCTACAGTACAGGACTGTAGAGATTCGCATTCCGCAAGGCAGGGCCCGAAGCGCCCTGGGCCACAGATAAACGCATAGTCCCGCAGTCGCAGCCAATCATGGCAGACCCAGGACGGGATCCTGTCGACAGGGGTAGCGGAGAGGCGATCCAGAGGGCGCTAGGACAGCTGTCTAAGCTGGTGGTTCTGGGCTTCTTGTTCTGTAAAGACACTGTCTATTCTTCATACTGGAGCAAGTGCTGGTGGTATTGTCTGCTCTGGGCTGTCTTTATCGTGTCTTGCATGTGATATCTTTACAGCCCCAGCAGCTGAAAGGCAGAGACTGACGTGGAAGAGGGTGGGAGGGGAAGCAGACAGGGGGGGGGGGGGGGGTGACGAGGGCTGAGAAAGAATTGAGGCTGAAAATGGGGACGAAAGAGGCAGCCTCTGGGGTTGCCTTGGGACTTTGTAGTGCAGATCCCCTTGTCCCACAGGCCTGAAGCTGCGTGGCAGAGACTAGGTCGAGGTTGTGTGGCTGTGGGCTGTGGTTGCTGTTGGCGATCTGTTATATGGTTATGTGCTGGAGATTCTCGTCTTATATCCTTGCAGGCACAGTTTTCCTTGACGCTCTCTCTGAACTGGACACTCCTCAGTCCAACCCAATCTCTCATCCAAACGCGTCTCTTCTCAGCTCTCCAGCCAACAAGCTCACACGAGAGCATCATGAACTCAACAACCCTCACCTGCCCCGTCACGGGCAACCCCGACCTCTACGGCCTGGGCATCCGCATCGGCATCTACATCCAGATGCTCACCGTCCAGCTCTCCGGCCTCGCCTCCGCCATCCTGCGCACCGAAGACTCCCTCGGCCAGGGCACAATTATCTTCGTCCTCGCCACCGGCATCGTCCTGATCCGCCTCCTGCGCGCCGCCACCGACATCCAGCCCGTCGAGGTCTTCCCCATCCTCACCCTGCTGCTCGCCCAGGTCGGCGTCTGCCGCGTGCCCTACTGGAAGGGCCAGACCACGGCCCTCATCTACGCCGTCGAGGTCGCCGGCCTCATCGCCCTCTTCGCCTGGTACTGGTGGCACGGCATGGACACCCTGCCGCGGAAGTGCCACGACGACAAGGCCTTCTTCTTCGCCAAGGTGAGCATCTGGCATTGGTTCCGCACCCTGAACAAGGTCGGATCCGTGTTTGCCATCATTGGTGGCGTCGTGTCTGTGCTCTTTTATCTCGGAGGTGAGTTTTGTTTCTCCATATCACACAAGTCTCCCTCCACTTAGAAGGCACGATGACTTACAGAAATTCATCTGAACGCGCGCGCAGCCATCATCCTCTTCACCTTTGTCCGCGCCGCCAACTTCGTCCGCCGGTTCCGCGGCGAAACCGGCGGCGGCGGCTCCAAGGAAGAGGACAACCCCATGGGCTACGGCCCGCTCGACTTCCTCGTCAACGTCGGCGCCATTGTCTACGTCGAGATGGCGCTCAAGTGGAACGACATCTCGGGCGTCCACAGCCTCGCCGCGCCGGGGCAGTTTATGCCCTTCTTCATATCGATTGCGCAGCTGCTGAGCGTGTTTTACGGGATTGGCAAGGCGGCGATGGCCATGGCTGGGGAGGAGGAGAGTTTGTCGGATGCGGAGTTTGGTGAGTTATGCCCCTTTGTGTCAACCTGGTGGAGGATTACTGTGCTGACAGAGTTGTTGCTAGATGAGGGAGATTTGCCTTGTCCGCATGAGGAGAAGGGGTGGCTGTGGTCGTATAGGAGCCAGCACGATTCGCTTCCCCTGGTTGTTCAGACCAATGGCAAATGATTGCGGACGACGAGTGCACCGACTTTCTCATTTCTATATCGCGTTTCTACATCTCGTCACTCTAGTATGATTTACTGATGCGCATGCTTTGTTTTGCCTTATTTAGGAGTTGGCTTGAGCAACACATAGGTTATATCGGGTTGGTAATGCGTCATGAGACATGATGTTTATGGCAATACATTTTACTGGAGTTGATAACAAGAATATATACAATCTATACTCGAGCAGAGATGTCTATCTTAGGTGCTAGGAGCCGAGAGCGTGTAATCTCTCCTCGAATCATCTCGTCATACTTCGTTCATGTATACTGAATCAGATCCATCATCAGCCAGCACTCTCATTTTCTGCCCATCACAACCGACCACTCTCACCAAGAAAGATGCCGTTACGCCCGGTGAGGGCGAGCGCGCCTGGGAGCATCACCGCAAGAGCCAACAGGGGCAGCAGTGCCGGCAGAGTCAAAGTCGACATCCGGGCCAGGTTCGGGGAAGAGAACATCAGCACCCTCGAGCGTAGAGCAGCCGTTGCCGACGTTGGCAACAAACTGAGCAGGGCGGTTGTAGATGGAATCAGCAGGACTGCGAGGACGGTAGCGAGGAGCCCTGATAGTGACGGCTCCGCAGTTCATGTACATCTCCCGGTTGCCAATGTTGTTGAACCAGGTCCAAGAGAAGAGAGCCTCACCGGGAGGCGTGTCGTTGGGCAGGGTGAAATCCCAGGTAGGCGTGAGAGGGCAACCCCCGATCCAGGAGTGGATGACGACCCAGGTCTTGCCCCGGTCGTAGGACAGCGAGGCCTGGCAGCTGCCGCCGGAGTGGGTGGCCGAGCCCGCGACAGTGAGGTTGTAGGTGCCGCCGGGCGCCCAGGTAACGCCGGGGGCGCCCTCGGGCCTGCCGGCGTCGACGTTGTAGCCCTTGCAGGGGAAGTTGGAGCCGTCGGCGTGGAGGGGCGAGGTCATGTCGTAGTCGATGAGGTTGCCGGGGACCTTTGGGTTATACTTGGAGCGGAAGACGGGGGGCCAGGAGACTTCCATGTGGGCTTGGGCCGTGGCGACGAGGCTGAGGAGGGAGGCGATGTTTAGGAGCTTCATTTTGAGGGTGTCTAATTTTTTTCTAGTTTTATGGTGAGGGAGTTGGTGAGGAGCGTCGATAGGTGTATAAGCTGGTTAGGAGTGTTGAGAGAGGGAGTGAGGTGTAAAGGAGTGAGGTTGAGAGTGTGGTGCTGGGCGCCTGTTATGTTGAACAAAAGAGGCTGTCGAGCGAGACACTCTTTCCTTAAATATCCATCTACGACAGTTCTCATTGCAGACCTTTTGCGATGATTCATATCGTTTGATCCGAAGTAACGAGGTAAGTGGTACGCAGACACGGCACTCGCCCTCGGCAGCAAGACCACTTTTTCTCCAACATGACAGACAGGGGCATAGGCATGTTGCTGATGCCCTTCCAGACGGTGGAATTCCACGGACTAGGAATAACCAGAGACAACCTTCCATTGTTGGCATGGCACTCCATATGAGGTACTTCAAATAAAGGTGTGCGTCCAGGTAGTATCACCACGCTCCTATCTTGGCGTTCGATGCCACGTTTGCTAGAACGATTAAAGGGACGGCATTGACAAGGTCGCTAGACGCACATCACGGCCAAGGTCAATGGAAAAGTCGCCTTGAACCAGTGGAGGTCCTACTTGTGGTATCAAGCCGGGATTTCTGAGACTGTCTGAGCCCAGCCACATGAACAAACGCTGGGCCGGCGCCCATCGCGATGAGAGACAGCCTCGCGAGTTCCAGCACAAGGGGGGCCACGTGCGTCTGAACCAAGAGACGCGCTCCCTTGTTTTGATCCCCGGTCTGGCGTGCATATCAGCGCCATTGTTACACTGACAGGCTCGATGAGTGAGCAGATAGAAGACGAACACCGATGGCAAGACAACCGAATACAACTCTCAGCAAGCGACTGACTGAATCTATGGGGAGTGAGATGGGTCCAAACCAGCAGAGTGCATGAAACGGAGAGAGACGTTACCAGTGACATTGGCAAGGCTCCATCTGCGTTGTCCAAGCCCATCTCAGGGCACATCTTCACTCCAAGATGTTGCCTCGCTGATATCGCACAAGTCAAACAGTTTACGCACTCTCGCCAGAGCATCATCTTCCTTCAGATGCCGGAATTATTGTATGTTATTTTTTACCCCGGGAAAGACATGTTTGACAAAGCCCCAAGTCTCACTTCAGTTGTTCCAGCCCTCATAGTAGTACAACAAAGAACCATGCAACATACTCCATCAGGAATGCCAGCCAGCCTTCGGGCCGACAGCCGACGGGTCTCATCGACCGTGACACTCCCAGCCTGCGGACAGCTGCCACCACCTGCCAGCCAGGCCCGAACACAATCCGCAAGCCAAGGTATATATAGCAAAAGTCCGGCAGTGTTTATCAGGGGGGCAGTCGAACGGTATATCGAAGCTTTGCTGGAGGTTGGGCGGCCGAGGAAGGCACCGACTTCGATAACCGTTGGCTGTCCCGCCTTTTGCATTTTTGTTTCTTTTTTTTTTTTTTTTTTTTTTTTTTCTTTGCCTTTTCTTTTTTTTTTTTTTTTTTGTCTTGTTTTATCTTACACCAGATTATTTGAGCATCATACTTATTTAAAGTGTACAAAGAACCCGACTCTGTAACCGTAATTGGTATATTGGAAACAGTCACGGAAGGGCAAGGGGAGATGAAGCTATCATCACCTTGGCATCAGCTGCACAGACGCATAACCTTCCTTGACTTCAATCTTATTACTATCATTCCACTACTTTACAGGTACGCCTGAACAAAAGTCCCAGGCAGACAGAAACGTCATCGCCTGTGCGTATTTAGGCTGAAGGCTACCAGTCGGAAAGCTTCGGGGACCTGATCTGCGATATCACAATGCCCTGCATACTACATACTTGTACATGCTGCGGCTGCATGTGCCGTGATTGTAACCGCCCATTCTGTCTAATTTAGATAGTAAAACTTCTTCCCAAAAAATGCCATGATTCAGCCGTTCTTCAAATGCTGTAATGTTTGTGCAGTTTTTGGATTCTGGTTGCCCGTACCAGTATTTTTCGTCGACGCTCCGACAAAGGCTGATGAGCAGCGCCCCGGTTCTCGGCATCAGGTCCCCAGTATCCGCACATGAGCTCCAGCATCTGACATCGAAACAAAAGCACGAGAAACTGTTCTCTTCTAAGCCTGGTGCTTGACTTTACTGAACAACCTTCCTGATCTGCTAGAGATGTTATAAAAATACCTTATCTGTGCCGCGTGTGGCCGCCTCTCGTGGCCTTCCTATTCTGGACGAGGGTGTAGCTCGATTCACATGCATCCCGAGTCTTTATGCTTGAATCCTGCAGCTACGCCAAGAGGCTTGGAACCAGAGATCCCCCCCAGGTCTCTGGAGAACTCATACAATCAATAAGTCCGTCAGCCGTCCATCTTCAATCACCAACAGGGTACAGTAACGTTAACTTCAATATAACTCCTTGGCACCATGCTCAGTCCATGTAACCGACTAACCGAGTATGCACCACATCACCATAAGTTTGCTATGCAATTCAGAAAATTCGTATGGATATGAACCCAATAGGAGGATGCTTGAGTTCTTCCCGTCACGCTTTTGTAGCTTGGCGGTTATGCAGGTCCCTTTTGTATGGCTGGCATGTGAATGCGGTTGCATCGTGGTTATGCTGTGATATCGTGCTACCCTCTGTGAGGGGCGTCTGAACGCCACTCGTGATGAAAGAAACATGGAGTAATTGAATTTCAGGCTTTTCCTTATGAATCAGTTCTTCAATGTATAAACTGCTTGTGTGAATAAACGTTGCCTGCGGATCAACGGCTCGCTATTTAGAAGACATGGATTGTTACGCTTCTAATTAAGCTTAATTCGATCAAGTCATCCTGTGGCGTACAGACACGAGCGAGTGGCTTTGCCTCGGTGATATTAATGGCAATGTTCAAGCGTCAAAATCAACTGAATACGTAGTCTTCCTATTAATCAAAACTTCTGCATACCTTATAAGCCGCAATCAGAAGAGAGCGAGAGACCATGTCCTTTCAAGCGTTGCCTCATCAAGGACGCTTTCCAGAAGCTCGTGTAAGTTCTCCTGCAGATGCTCAGATGCAACTATTGTCTCTGAGCGGAAAATCCGCATTAGGCCATCAGACTACCATTTCGCCGACGGGGTTTCATTAGACGCATGCTACAAGTCTATTCTACATAGAACAGCAGTTCACCTTGACGATGAACCCAGGAAACTACATGAATTCGCCCCTGATGGCGCTCGAGGTGCAGGGTAGGCGTCTGTTTCCGGGCGGGCGTTTGGTTCTCTGTCTGAGCTGATCTCGTACACCCTAGTGCTTGCACTTAGACGCGACATATCAACTCAGTCTCAAGTATACGCTCGCGTCTAATGATGTCCATGATTTCACAAGTTGTGTCATGAGCATCAACAAGCAAATCATTGCGATGCCTTCTAATCTTCACGGAGACGGACATTCCTCACCTTAATTCCTCACCTTATCTCCGTATGAGAAAAAGTCCGTCTCTGTGAAGTCCGAAATCGTGCATGTGGTTTCCGCTCTTCTCGCCTCAGCTTCGCTCAAACAACTCGTGCTACGTCCGTTCGAATCGGATATTCTTCTATAGTGAGAATTGGATCTTGAATCTGCTTATGGCCAATATCACTGTAGTAGTAGTATAAATGCCTATCTTGATAGGACCAAGCTCCCTCCATTTCCATCACCTCACAACCTTCCACACAGCCAGTGAATCTCGGCAGAAATGGCATGCCCAGACTGTTTCCGCGGCTCCATCCACGAGGGCGAACCTCGCGGCAAAGTCACCCACGCCTACGGCCTGGAGACGTACGTCGTCGAGCCATCCGACGGACAGCCCCCGAAAGGCATCGTCGTCGTGCTTCCGGATGCCTTTGGATGGACCTTTGTCAATGTGAGGCTGCTCGCGGATAAGTATGCCGACATGGGCGGGTTCAAGGTGTATGCGCCCGAGTTAATGAATGGTAAGCGGATAGTATATGACGTGCGAGAGTGAAATGTGATGATGCCTGTCCACATGGGTTCAATAACCAGATGCCAATGTTTGATCGGGGTGACGAGAGGCTGATTGCTTCAGGTTGGTCTGCGCCATTGTGGATGCTCGACAGCATGAAGATGGTGTCATCACCATCTTCCGGGATTCTTACAAAAATGTGAGTACGATCAAATCTCTGGCAGAAGAACGCTGTCCAGTTGGGAAGACGGGGGGTTGCTAACACACAACCGGCATCACCTGCAGCTACCACTCGCTCCGCGTTCTACGCGCTATCCTTCCCGTCGTCATCTACAACTGGCCAAGCAGGGCATACCCCAAAGTCAAAGGCTTCTTCGAACAGCTCCGCAAGGAAGAAGGCTCCTCTCTGCCCGTCGGCGCCGCGGGCTTCTGCTGGGGCGGCAAGCAAGTCGTGCTGCTGGGTCGCGGCGACACAATCGATGGAAGACCGCTGATTGACGCCGGATTCGCGGGCCATCCGAGTCTACTCAGCCTCCCCAGCGAGATGGAAGCGCTGAAGGTGCCCGTCTCGTTTGCCATAGGCGATCACGACGAATGGATTTCGGTGGAACAGGCTGGAAGAATGAGGGAGATTGTCGAGGCGAAGGAGGAGTCTGCCCGTGGAGAGGTGGCCGTTTATCCTCAGACTGCCCATGGGTTCTGTCTGAGGGCGGATCACACGTTTGAGAAGTCGGAGAGGCAGGCGGACGAGGCGGCTGAGCAGTGCGTCAAGTGGTTTACTGCTCACTTCAAGGCTTCATGATGCCTTGGGGATGTGTGACGGCAATTGCTTATGGTTGGTGGATGGATTTCCCGTTGGAGGTTGGAGGGTGCTTTATATCCCATTCCCTGATTTCGCCGTTGTTGCCTTATATATAGAGACCGGAGCGGACTTGTAAGGTGAGCAGAGATGACATTATAGAACATAATATAAGTTCGTTTGGCAAAGATTGCTTTCCATGCCCGGCGACTTAGTCGAAAGCGATTCTTGGCTGTCTAATACTTTTGACCTCTTGATAACTCAATACATATCAGAACAGGCACTTCTCGACCCTTTACACACCAATGAAATATTTTCGGCATTTCTCTCGGGCTTCATATGGCTGGGCATAGCCTACGTGTGGTAAACTCAGTCAGCTCCTCAGTCAGAAGAGGGGAGAGGCTCGGAGATCCGGGATGAATAACATAAGCATATCATCAACAGCAATAGCCGACGGTAATTCTGTCAAAGTCCGGTCTTCTCAACAGACATGTGACGATTTTTCTGCAGCAGTCTCCATCGCGATGATCATAATGCGGGGAAGATCCCGGACAACAGATCTGAAGATGTCGGCATATAAGAGCCGAAATACCACTTCCCCGCGATTGACAAACTATATACTTGTAGTGGCCCATCAATGCCGTCGGTTGATAATGGCAAACGTCCGAGTAATTGTGCATATTTCAAGAATGGACCCATATGAACTGGCCACGATATAAAGCTGTACTACCCCCGTCCGCTGCCATGGAAGTGTCTGCGCAGACGATCCGAATCTGGAGGAGCAGACCAATATCCCAAATATAAATCAAGATGCTTCCTCTTCTGCTATACGCCGCCGCCGCTGCCGCAGCCAGCACCCCCGGTCTCCGGAAGCTGAGCAACCTCGTCACCTTTGGCGACAGCTACACAGACGAAGGCCGTCTCAACTACATCTTCAGCCACAACGCCCTGCCTCCTCCTGGCGAGCTGCTGCCCGTCAACAACGCAACCTCAGTAGGCGGCTATGCCTGGCCGAGACTCGTGGCCCAGAAGACGGGGGCCAAGCTCTACGACTATGCCGTGGCCGGCGGAATGTGCTCCGACCGCGTCACGCAGCACTTCCTCAGCAACATCAACGGGCCGTTCCCGTCCATCCTGGACTACGAGGTGCCGGCGTTCAAGACGGACCTCGGGTACCGGGGCCTGTATCCGAATCGGAGGCCGGACAACACGGTGTATGCGCTGTGGATCGGGACCAACGACCTGGGCATCGACGGGTTCCTGGGCGACAAGCAAGTGCCCGGCGCCACGATCCCGGACTTTGTGGAGTGCGTCTGGAAGGCCTTTGACGGCGTGTACAAGCTCGGCGGAAGACACTTTGTCCTGCTCAACGTCCTTCCGCTGCAGCTCTCGCCCATGTACGCCTCCATCGAGAACGGCGGGACGGGCGACAACGAGTACTGGGGCGACAAGGCGGCTTACAACACGACGGAGACGCAGGACAGGATGGAGCAGTACCTGACCAGCGCCAACACCATGTTCGCCACGGGGGCGCCGTATAACCTGCTCGTCAAGAGGCGCTGGCCCGGGGCGACGGTGAGTCTTTTGGACGTGCACTCGCTGCTGCTGGACTTGCGGGCGGATCCGACGAGGTATTACACGGAGCCGGTGAACATCACGGGGTCGTGGAGGGGATGCGGCGATGCGGGCTGCTATCAGTCGGCGAATGCGCAGTCGACTTTCGTGTGGTGAGTTTCTTTGACCTGACGAAATGGGTTTTAGTATCATTGTGAGATTGGTTTGACTGACTTGTGTGTTTCTGTTCTCTTCAGGTACGACGAGGTGCATCCCTCGGAGAGGACGTGCGAGCATGTGGCTGATGAATTCATCAGTCTGCTGGGTGGACGGTCGAAATACGGGGTCACGTACCATTAAGTAGCATGGATCTGTCCCTTTGGATGAATAAAGCAACAATGACACTCGGGTAGACTCAGAGTTGCAGTGCTGTGAGGCTGCGGACAGTAACGTGATGATGACGATTACGTTGGTTGTGGGTTGATATGGGGTAAGCCTGACTGTTGACCGAGCGTCTGCAACTCATGATGACTTCTCTTGACGGCCATTGTACAGCCAAGAGGCAAAAGGGGGGACAAAGAAGAAATGCCAATCCATCCATTGGGGAAAAGGGTTGACTCTGCTACTGTAGGTATCTTTAGTTGAGAACCAGTTCCTCTGGATGTAGGTTAGCAGGCGATATATAGCAACCTCAGATGTAGGAGAGCTTACATGTACATACTGCCCCTTGAGTCAACTGTATCTCTGGGCAGCAACATCATCAAACGAACCGGGAAACTCTCAAGGAAAAGAAACAAGGTCACACATGCTTTTCCAAACAGACGCCGTCATCTCCCCCCTTCCCTCGAGTGCCTGTGCCTGGCGCAACTCTCGACATCTCACGTCATTCCGCAAGCTGGTGAGAGGCGACTAGGCCCCCTTTGGCGCTGCCTCGACCCGCTAAACAGTCACCCAAAAGTCGCTTCCAATCCAGCTGGTGTTTCTTCTCCCATCTCCAAACTTTCTTTCTCAGCCTCCCGTCCAACCACCAAAAAAAAAGAGCGAACCCGTGTCTCGCCACTTTTGTGCATTCCTCAACACGCGAATCGCGATTCTTCCAGCGCCCCTGATATAGAAGCAAATCTAGCACAACCAGCAAGATTGGGAAAGCTTGACAAGGAAGACACCCCCGACATCCTCCCCAGAATCGCGCGCCCCAGCCTCGCCAGCCAGCCATGTACTCTGCCAACTACGGCTTTGGCAATGCCGCGCCCAACTTTGCCAACCCGGCCGGCGCGCCGCAGCCTGGAATGCAGCCGGGGCAGCAGTTCATGGTCAATCGCCAGCAGCAGTTCGCCGGCATGGCTCCCCACGGCGCCTTTCCCGGCGCGAACCCGCACATGATGGCCGATGCCAGCGCCGCCATGATGCAGGCCCAGGGCATGCCCGGCATGGCGCCAAACAACCAGAGTGCGTCCCTCTCCTTGTCCTCGCCCTCGTCTTTGTCCTTCCTCGGCCGCGGCGTCGTGACAGGGGGCGCGCAGATGGACTCGAGATTTGTTTGCTAACATTCACGCACCTCAGTGGCCTACCAGCAGCAGTTCCCCGGCGCGTCATACGGCCAGGTCCTCCCCGCGGGCGTCGGCCCCCAAGGTTTCGTCCCGAACAACTACATGATGAATCCCGCCATGCAGGGCTTCCCCATGGGCCAGCCCGGCATGCCTCAACAGGCCCAGCAGGCCCAGATGATCCAGCGCATGCAGCAGCAGCAACAGCAGCAGCAGCAACAGCCCCAACCACAGCAGCAGATGCCCCAGCAGCAGCAGCAGCAACAACAACAACAACAGCAGCAACAGCAGCCGAACCAGATGATGGGCCAGGTGTCGACCCCCCAGAGACCGCCGAGCACAGCGCAAGGAACTCCGACAAATATCATGCCTCCTCAACAGCCTCAGTTTTCGACGCCTCAGCACATGGGTCAGGGACAGACACCAACGCCCCAGCACCAGCAGCCCATGGGCGTGGCCACGCCTCAGACACCGACATTCTCCTCCAACATAAGCGGCGGCATGGCTGCCCCCTCGACAGCTGCCGCACCGATGAGCCCGACGACGGAAAACCTCGAGAAGGAAAGGTTCGCGCTGCTGCTGGACATCAACCACGAGCTATTATACGAATCCATTCAGATCCAGACAACGCAGCAGGAGCTGAAGAAGGAGCACGCTGCCGTAAATGGAAATGTTCCAGACAGGAAGCCAACAGAGGAGGAGAATCTGTTTCAGCAAGACTATCTCCAGTATGTCCAATCCTGGCACTCGTCAGCTACAGAAGAGAGAGCGATGACTAACGTGCTGCTTAGTTGCATGCGACGATTACAAGCCAATCTGTCGTACATGGCCGCTTTGGCGGATAGAAAGCCCGACGTCAAGGGACCGCCGTGTCCAGCATATCTCAGCGCGCCACCCCTTAACCTCTCCCTCAAGCTGAGAGCGACACCCATCGGCGCCGAGAACATGACTACGCCGATTGATCCCGTAACAGACAGAGAAGAGCGGTACAAGTCGATTCAGGACCTGTATCGACGACTGCAAGCCGTCTTCCCTCAATTCGATCCCAAAAAGGAACCCGCCTTCCGCATGCCGAGCCAGAAGCCGCCCATGGGCCCCATGGTACCGAGCCAACAACCCAGTCCAGCTGCCCAGAGGACGCCCCAGCTACCAAATATGCCTGGCCCGCCCATGAATATGCAGAATATGCAGAATATGCAGACTATGCAAAACATGCAGAACATGCAGAATATGCAAAACATGCAAAACATGCAAAACATGCATGACCATGCAGTAGAAGACAAGAGGCCTCGGAATGTTGAAGCGAGGGGATGCATAGAAGTGTTGAGGGGGGGGTCGATGAGAGAACCTGGATAGCTGAGGCGGTTGGTGAGAGCGAGTGAAATGGAAAAGCGGGCGTGCGATTCCTGATTTCCTATCGGCGTTTTTTCGAGGTGTCTACTTAGAGGCGTGGTTTGATGGTTTGGCTATATGATATCACTCGGTATTCTCGTGGCCCCAACTTGGTTTCTCTAATTTTCATTTGGTTCATCAGGAGGCAGCGGGTCAGGGACGTTTACTTGGAAACCCACGACACTTACGAGGTATAAAATAAATGAAGAACTTGTTTAGATTAGCTGATCCTATATATTTAATCATCATATCGTGTATTATTCCACTATATCTTGAACGAGTGCATAAATGATGCTTTGGGATGGCGTGGCTGTGATGCTACATAGCCCTCCTCACTGTCGTTCAACCTGCTCGCCGCTGTATTCCTAGGCATTGACTCCAATTTCCGGCCAGATTGAACATGCAAGGTTAACTGCAAAGCCCGGCAAACGTTCTAAGCGAAGCAATGCCAGATAGCTCCCTTCTAATAAGTGAAGAGTGAGCTCCTCCATGTCTGTGCTACGAAGTTAGAAACGTCGCTTTGGCAACTTCAAGTTACGGCAACCTCAAGGTTTGAGCCGACCCGATTCCTTTTCCATATATGCTCAAGGATGCGTATGAAGCGATACATGCCATTAACTCTTTCCCGCTTTGGGACGAATTAAAAAGGTCTCTAATGTCCAAAAGCCATTCTTACTTTCTGGGTCTAATTGACCTATTTTCTTTGTCCCTCTTTGACCACTTTCCGCTACCTTTAAGGATTCAGTTTGGACATTTTCTCTCTTTGTAAGGTAGACACTCGGAGATCACATGCAGAGTGACATGCGCAAGCCAAGCTTTTTTAAAGTCCGATGGCGGGAATTTGTTAGCGTCACGCTAAGGTGTAGCTTATCTCGATGGCCGGGTTTGCTGGGTTTGATGTGTGATGGATGCTGTGGCTTTTCGGATAACATACAAACTTGGTTTGGATGCTTCATGGCCTCCTTTTTTTTGTCCGTTATTCTGCCCTGGAAATGGGGTGTGAGTTTTGAGTATGCTTGAGTGACGAACTGGTTTGATGTCATGTTCGAGCTCGGAACGACTTTGAGTGATGGGGCCGAGTATCTGACCATAAGGTAGACGGAGTAAGGGACTCAATAATGTACGGAGAGGATGGTCTACACCCAGCCCTTCGTCACATACGGTATGTGTAGACGTCTAAAAGGAGCTTGCACAGTCTCGGAGGACATGCTAATGGCAAGCCCAAAAGTCAAAACATCAAGCGATGCCACGCATTGTTCTAACATGGGAAAGGTTCAAGAGCCGGCGGCAATTATGCTTCGTTTCCTAATCCCAATATAAACCTCTTGAGAGGATAACCTTTCTTGAATCCAGGCCATCCCAAAATCATCTTTTTCCCTTTAAACTTAAGAGGAATAACCCTGAGACTAAGCTGTGAAGGGATGTCGGAAACAGAGGGCTGAGTCCTGCTGTTCATGTTTGTTTCTCCTTATTTAAGGAAGCAGAGGCCCCTTTCTCACCTTTTACATCCTCTCAAACACACGCAGAATACATGCCAACTGCTTTGAGCTTGCTTCACAGCCTTGATCATCTGCTACTTCCTACTCTACATCAATAACATTACACCGGCATCTTCATCTTAGGGAAAGACCAACCCACAAGCCAGCCAAACTACCGCTACAACCAAACTCCTCCACCAAGGGTAAAAACCGCTACAATGTCTCTCTACAACCGCAGGCCATCCGCCATACCTGACCTCGAAGCCGCCATGCCCGACCCCAAAGCAGCCGGAGAAGTCATCTACGACGGCGTCTTCGTCGACGTCGGCTCCCGCGGCTACGACATCCAGTCCCGGATCCTGGGCATCCCCGACCACCTGGGCCTGTTCCAGCGCGGTGCTCCTGGGCGGAACGGCTTCCTGGGCATGCTCATCGTGTCCTTCTTCGGCGCCTTCATCTGGAGCCTCGTCGGCTTCATGTTCTACGTTGTGTGGCTCCTGCTGGTTGCGCAGCCGATGGGGCCCGCGGCCGCCGCCATGGTGTACGGGTTCATGCTTGGGTTCTTGTTTCTGGCGGCGCTCACCATGACGGGCCTGGACAATGTGGATCGACGATGGAGAAGACGCCAGTTGTTGCTGAAGATGGAGAAGGAGGTGAGGGAGCGGAATGGGAGGGGGGTGGTGTGATGGTTGATACTGGTATGTGTGAAGCTCTGCTATATGCTGGGGGAAATGTTTCTGATACGAAATTTGGCAGTGTTTACTTCTGGCGATTACTGTCTTTGTCCAGAGGCTTTTGTCGCCTTTGTATCGTCTTTCTTGTATACCGAGATATCGACAGAGGATTCGGGCTTGATGGTCATCTGGATGATACAAGATACAACCTCTTCAAGCAAGATCATCTTGGCAAGGAAGTTGCAGCTCATACTTCATTTGCCAACCATTTGGGATCCCGCAATGACACCAGGGCTCTCTCTTTCCCCCCATCACTGTACCATTCTGGAGCGTTGGTGGATGCCGCGGATTTGCCAGGTCAAAGTCAGTAGAGGACAGCCAAAACTCGGGGCGTACTTATTTTCACGACATTGCGTGCTTACGAAATGATGAGAGTCGTTAGACTAGATTGAAACGACAGATGGACTATTGGGAGTTTGGAGAAGCCAGCGTCTTGGGTACTATTAAGTTTTGCGGAACTCGAAAGAAACAAGCATGTGGCAGTCGACACATGTGCTTGTAAGGTAGTTGATTGCAATAGTACTAATAATAGTACTTGGTTTCGGAGAATTGTTAAACTGTCCAATTGCTTTCCAGAAGCTGTTCCTGTTAACTTAAATGTGTGGATGATGTACATGCATGTAAGGTACCTTATGTACGGGTAGGTCAAAGCGATGAGGTGGGACGAATGTGAATTTGGACCTTTCTTTACAGGCAAGGCTCTGGTAGCGATATCCGGCACCCAACTCCATCCGTACCTGAGCATGTGTCAAGCTGTTGAAATTTTTACAGACTAAAACTCGTCATGACTTGCCGAGCAGCCCCAAGATGACGATATCTTGTACATCAGACAATGACACATCTCAACCGCCTACCCGCGGGAATCGTAGATTTGCTCGTCCCCCAACCTGCCTCTCGTCCCCATCCGGCTTGCCGTGGTCCACATGGTGCGAAAAATCTGGAAGACTAACAAGAAAAGATGGGAGGAGAAGAGAAGAAAAATGAGATCTGCGGAGGCGTTTGGATTGTGCTCCACAGACTGGAGAGAGGCGGTACCGGCAGTCTCATGTCTCGTGCGACCCGTCCAGTCTGTTCTGCTGTTTGTAACGGCTTCCTTTGAGGCCAATGAGAAAATATCGCTGTGCTTAACCTATAGCTCGTATGTCCCCCTTTTTGTGATACGTTTGCATTACTTCTGAAACGTAGAGCACCACCAGAAGAAGCCGTACGGATGGTCAAAACTTGGTAGATAGTATAAGCCCGTGAGAACCACGCAGCTGGATTCCATCGCCATGGAGGGGTTGAGGGGTCCATCCCACCTGAATTTTTTTCCTGTTAGCGTCCCCAGGGCCGCCGCGGGGTCCAGTTTAGCGGGTGCATGCACTGGAGGAATACCACGCAAATGCCCTGGAAATGCCCTGCAATGCCCTGCAAAGGCTCTGCAGCCATCCATCATAGGCAATAAGGCAGCGACATGATTGGCCCATCTCGCTGGTGGCGGTGGAACCGGCGCTGTGATCTCAGACGGATTGCCCAATCACACGCCGTCCTGCCCCAGACTAAGCCGCGATAGTCGTGGCGTCTCGATGTATTGATTGGGTTGGCAAGAAGGCAAGAGAAAAAAAAAAGTTGTTTGTTAAAGTCCCTGTGCCGAGATTTTTTTTTCTCTTCCTTCTCTTCTTTTCTTTCCCTCTCCCTCCTCAGCTACAGCGAGGGCAGCCTTCGAAATTCCTCTCTTTTACTCTTTCGACCCCCTGAAGGACGCCTGCTGCTGCTTGTTGAGGTAGCGGATGACCGCGAGGTAGCTCTTGACTTGCCCGGGAGAAGCTCTGAGAACGAGTTTTTCTTGTCAGTCGCCAGCAGACCTTCGCCCCTCATTCTTTGCCATCACCATCTTTTTGCCCCGCCTTGGCTGCTTTGTCTGCGAAGTCGAGCATCAAGACAGCTGCGAGGCAATCAGGCTGTAAACCGACGAGATCTCGGAGTCAGCCAGTGTCTGTTTCTACGCTGAACCTCGATTCGAACAGAAGAGAGATACATATAAGCCGACACCAAGCACAATGGCTGTTCAGGTCCTCCAACCCGCCTCGGCCAGCTACGGCACCGACGAGCGCCTCGTCAGCCTTGAGCTCGAGGATGGCTCGACCTACCGGGGCTACAGCTTCGGTGCGGAGAAGAGCATCGCCGGAGAGCTGGTCTTCCAGACCGGCATGGTGGGATACCCCGAGTCCGTCACGGACCCCTCCTACCGCGGCCAGATCCTCGTCATCACCTTTCCCCTAGTCGGAAACTACGGTGTCCCTTCGCGGGAGACGCTGGACGAGCTGCTCGGCGACCTGCCCGCCCACTTCGAGTCTTCCCAGATCCACATTGCTGGTCTGGTGGTCGCCTCCTACTGCGGCGAGGACTACTCCCACTTCCTGGCCAGCTCTTCCCTGGGCACATGGCTCAAGGAGCAGGGCGTCCCCGCCATGTATGGCGTCGACACCCGAGCCCTGACCAAGAGGATCCGGGAGAAGGGAAGCATGCTGGGAAAGATGAGACTGGCCAGCCTCACCTCAGCCGATACCTTTGAGGAGATCGACTGGGTGAACCCCAACACACAGAACTTGGTGGCACAGGGTGAGTTTTCCCCCCCATCTGCCTCCCTTTTTGCTAGATATAAGAAAGAAAGAAAAAAGAAAACAAAACAAGACAATATGCTCATTCGTTGTCTTGCGTAGTATCCATCAAGGAGCCCAAGCTGTACAAGCCGCCCGCGTCCGTTGCTCGCAAGCACCCTTCCGGCCGGACGATTCGTGTTTTGTGTGTCGATGTCGGTATGAAGTACAACCAGCTGCGATGCTTCCTCAAGCGAGGCGTCGAAGTCGTAGTCTGCCCCTGGGACTATGACCTGGCCAAGGCTGCTGGCGAGGAGTACGACGGTCTCTTCGTCTCCAACGGTCCCGGTGACCCAGCCATGCTGGACACCACCGCCAAGAACATTGCTGCCGTCATGGAGGTCAACAAGATCCCCATCTTCGGTATCTGCTTGGGTCACCAGCTCATGGCCCGCGCTTCCGGCGCAAAGACCTCCAAGATGAAGTTTGGTAACCGCGGCCACAACATCCCCTGCACCAGCATGGTCACCGGAAAGTGCCACATCACTTCTCAGAACCACGGTTTCGCCGTGGATGCCGACAGCCTGCCTACCGGCTGGAAAGAGCTCTTTGTCAACGCCAACGACGGCAGTAACGAGGGTATCATGCACGTCGAGAAGCCATACTTCAGCGTCCAGTTCCACCCCGAGAGCACTCCGGGCCCCCGCGACACCGAGTATCTCTTTGACGTCTTCATTGACACCATGACCAACTGTGCCGAGAACCCTGCTCTGCTGCAGGCTCCCGTCCACTTCCCCGGCGGAACCATTGAGGAGAACGAGAGGCTTCACCCTCGTGTCTCTGTCAAGAAGGTCCTTGTTCTCGGCAGTGGTGGTCTCAGCATCGGCCAGGCCGGCGAGTTTGACTACTCTGGTTCCCAGGCCATCAAGGCGCTCAAGGAGGAGGGCATCTACACCGTCCTCATCAACCCCAACATCGCCACCATCCAGACCTCCAAGGGCTTGGCCGATAAGGTCTACTTCCTCCCCGTCAATGCCGAATTTGTGCGCAAGGTCATCCAGTATGAGAGACCGGATGCCATCTACGTCACCTTCGGAGGACAGACCGCCCTGCAGGTCGGTATTCAGCTCAAGGATGAGTTTGAGAGCCTTGGCGTCAAGGTTCTGGGTACCCCCATCGACACCATCATCACCACCGAGGACCGAGAGCTCTTTGCTCGAAGCATGGACTCCATTGGCGAAAAGTGCGCCAAGTCCGCCTCGGCCAGCAGTGTGGACGAGGCCATGCACGTCGTCAAGGACATTGGGTTCCCCGTCATTGTCCGTGCCGCCTATGCCCTGGGCGGCCTGGGAAGTGGCTTCGCCAACAACGAGCAGGAGCTGCTCGATCTCTGCCACAAGGCCTTCGCCGCCAGTCCCCAGGTCCTGATTGAGCGGAGTATGAAGGGCTGGAAGGAGATCGAGTACGAGGTCGTTCGAGACGCCCAGGACAACTGCATCACAGTCTGTAACATGGAGAACTTTGACCCCCTCGGTATCCACACGGGCGATTCCATTGTCGTTGCCCCCTCTCAGACCCTTTCGGACGAAGACTACAACATGCTGCGAACAACGGCCGTCAACGTCATTCGACACCTCGGCGTTGTTGGTGAGTGTAACATTCAGTATGCCCTGAACCCCTTTTCCAAGGAATACTGCATCATCGAAGTCAACGCTCGATTGTCCCGGTCATCCGCCCTGGCTTCCAAGGCCACCGGTTACCCCCTGGCCTTTATTGCCGCCAAGCTGGGTCTCGGAATCCCGCTCAAGGAGATCAAGAACTCGGTGACCAAGGTTACCTGCGCGTGCTTCGAGCCCTCTCTTGACTACTGTGTCGTCAAGATGCCCCGATGGGACTTGAAGAAGTTCACTCGTGTCTCTACCCAGCTCGGCTCCTCCATGAAGAGTGTCGGCGAGGTCATGAGCATTGGTCGCTCGTTCGAGGAAGCCATCCAAAAGGCCATCCGAGCCATTGACTTCCATAACCTTGGCTTTGGCGAGACCAAGGCTCTCATGAGCATCGACGACGAGCTGCAGACGCCCTCTGACCAGCGTCTCTTTGCCATTGCCAACGCCATGGCCCAGGGTTACTCCGTCGACAAGATCTGGGAAATGACCCGAATCGACAAGTGGTTCCTCCGCAAGCTCAAGGGGCTGAGCGACTTCTCCAAGCAGATGACTCAGTACACCACCGCCGACATTGCCCAGAAGCCCAACCTGCTTCTCCAGGCGAAGCGTCTTGGTTTCTGCGACCGCCAGCTCGCCAAGTTCTGGAGCTCCAACGAAATCGCCGTTCGCCGCCTCCGGCTCGATGCTGGCATCCAGCCCTTCGTGA